GACGTAGGTAGGTGCTCGAAAATGAATTCCAAACACCATCTGCCTGTTGTAGACACATTAGAAGTATAATGCGATGTTGCAGGACTAGGTGTCTGACGCCGTGACTTTCCCTGGATTGAAGGCTTTCAGAGTTAATGACACAGCTCTCTGGAAAGCTTAGCTGGTTTCAAACCTACATCGATGCTTCCACTTTCTGTTGGTGAGTGTAGTCGTTCTGTCTGGCTGCAGCGAGGAAGCTAATCCAGTGTGACGAGCCGGGGGAAGCTCGTCCTCTGAGAAGACTCTTGAATGGACAGATATGGGTCAGTGCTGCCACATGGACTCACTACAGGAGCTACACCAAGAGTTGTTTATATACAACTGTCTTTTTCTCTTTCAATGGGAGCCGTGGAATCCCCTGCGGTAGTTCATTTTTTAATTGATTGTGCAGTGACAGCGAAAAAGAGCATGGAGGAAGGTTTTCTGTTGGTTTAAAGAGTAACATCCAACTGTAGTTCGAACACTCCCTCTGGCTGGTTAGGGTATTTGACGAGAAGACAGAACATCAACTAATTATTAAAAAGATGGGATGCTTGTTGCCTCTAAGATTGACAGTTCAGATTGAAACGGCTATGAATACTTATGTGCACATTATATTTGAATAGATATAAGAGATAATATATATAACATGGATTTCTTTACTCTTACTACATGTTGGGAATTGATGACATGGGAGGAAAAGGTGTCGAAAAATTATCTTTGAGGCTGCAAATTACCAACTGAATGAAAAATAACAGTTTCTGTGCTGAAATAATGACACTCAATGTGGTTACTTGACATGTACAAAAAAGCCTCTTATTTTAAAGCTACTCGTGCTCAGGGGAAGCGATTAGGCTTTATCTACCCCCAAACCTCCTTGTGAACCTGATGACCTCCAGACGCCCCCCCCATCCAAACTCTGTTCCCATGATCCCCTCTGCTACATGAGCAGAGGTACTTTACCTTTTTTTGTGCAATTAATCAAGAGGAAACAATCAAGTAATGTAAACTCGTAGAAGTAGAAGAAAGGCCAACAAAAATCCCTTTTTATGTATAATGTATAAATAGTGTATGGGTAAAAACTTTATAGACTAAATTAGTAAACGTACATATTTCAATGCAGTCCATCGCCTGGTTTCCACACAGTTTTGTATCTGAAGTATGCCCTGTGGTGATCCACCCAATGAAAATAATCTCTTTATCGAAGGATAGAAACACCACCGGTATTAGGAAAACTATTATTTAGTGTGTTTTTCACCGTCGACTATTATCGAATATGCGCCCTGAACAAAACCGAGACAAAACAGGACCAATAATGCACTGTTTTAAATGTAATGATGAACTATTCCACTTTAATTTAACTGGAATAGTTAAATTAAAGTGACCCAACCCTAACCCTTTAGGCGGTGTAGGTTTTGATAACCATAAGTTTTTAGCAAAAATAATAATACATTCACAATATGTTAAACTACCTTAACTCTTTACAAAAACAGATCCGCAGTTACGTAGATTCCCCCAGGAATGAATTAACTTTCTGTTTAATTGCATACGCAAACAGCTATACAAGTGGAACACTTATGTTGTGATTTTGTATCTGCGTCGGTTTTCTTCACCTTTTTCTTTTTATCAGCCAATCCTGTTGCAGAGCAGCTCTCATTATTAGCTGCAACATTTTGTTCACTGTCACATGTAAACTGCTGAATTATGCATCGTACCCTGCTCAGAGTGAAGGGTGACACGGATGTATAATAACCAGAAACTAAATGTGACTTCTGTGCCATGAGGCTTCTGCGCCTGCCAGTCCACCTTTTATTTCATCGTTTTTAGGGCCACAACAGTGATGAAAGGACCAGTTTACTGCTACTTAGCTCCAGTGTCGTCGAGGTCTTTGCTCATTCATTAATCTTTCCACTGTTTGCATGTGTTTGTGTGTGAACATGTGTGTGTAGTAAAAGGCAGTTGTACCACTTAGGGCCTCATTACTGAGAGTGCAAGTCTCCCTTAGATGCTGATAACAGCTATAGAGGTGTGGTGTGTGTGTGTGTGTGTGGTGTGTGTGTGTGTGTGTGTGTGTGTGTGTGTGTGTGTGTGTGTGTGTGTGTGTGTGTGTGTGTGTGTGTGTGTGTGTGTGTGTGTGTGTGTGTGTGTGTGTGTGTGTGTGTGTGTGTGTGTGTGTGTGTGTGTGTGTGTGTGTGTGTGTGTGTGTGTGTGTGTGTGTGTGTGTGTGTGTGTGTGTGTGTGTGTGTGTGTGTGTGTGTGTGTGTGTGTGTGTGTGTGTGTGTGTGTGTGTGTGTGTGTGTGTGTGTGTGCGTGCGTAGATTTCTTGTCGCTGAGTAAGGGGGTTATGGAGTGTGTTTCTGGGGTGTGTTCACAGCTTATTATCCAAAGTCTTCTCTTGTCAGAGTTACATTTTAGTAGGTTATGGAACATCCAGTCTTTTATGTTTTCTCAGAAGACTTTAATACACAAAAAGACCCTGAATTCTTGGGTCAAGTTACAGGACTGTTGTACATATTGAAGGTATATTGCAGGTATTGTGTATTCGTAGAGAGATGTAAAGGAAATGGAGGTCATAAAGGTGGAGGGTCGTGTTGAATGTCTTTCTTTAATGCAGAAAACAACATTTTTTATCCTTGCTTTTTATAACCCACTGTCTTAAACGTACTTAGTTGCCTAACCCTATAATATCGTGCAGTATACACGTCCTAAATTGTACAAATATCAGTGATTAGTGTTTTTATCTGTTCATGATTATTTGCTACAAACAGCCAGTGGCTCTTGCTGTTACCTGGCTCACAGTTTTACCGTTTTTTAATTATATTTTATTTTCCTCCATGTGTCACCTTGACATAGGGAATTTTAGCTTCAGGCTGAGCTTACATTTGCGACTTCTTAACTTGAATGAAGATTATTCACAATTTGTATTCCCACGTGTGTCTTTCCATTGTCTTGAATCATCTCTAAACTTCACTTTATGTTCAGTCTGTACATCTTTTTATGCTTTTGTCAGTCACAGTTTTATCTAACAGCCGTTAAATCTATTTCATAAAAACGTTCATGCTCAGCTTTTGGAAACTCTTGACTGGCAAACTGTTTCCATTGGGAGTGTTTCATGTTTTGAGGAGTGTGTGAGGTGAAAGGCAGGCGCTCAGAGTTATGAGGAAAGCGTCTCAGTGTGCTGCAGCGAGGCCTGCAGCACACTGAGACGCATGTTGTGTTTGATTTGCCTGCCTGCTGTTCCCCTGCCTCGTGTTTCTTGTTTCCTCTGATGTTTGGGTTAAACCGGCGGAGCAGCTGTCATGCCTGGATGCTGAATAGAAAGATTAAAAAGGGCTCGAAACATTTTCATTCATGAAAAGGTGGATAATCGGATGGATTTACAAAAAAAAGGTTGACTTGTTTTCTTCCTTATAGTTCATATTGCTTTACTTTTTTGACACGTCTGCAAGTGAGGAAACATTTTTTCAACACTTCTATCATGATCTACACACCTGTCCACTAATGTGTTTTGCCATTTGTTTGCACTTGAAGGGTAAAAAGAGTAGCAGAATGCTAAGAGGAGCCTTTTAGGCACAAAGGAAAGGCGATAAATGTGTCCTTGTGAGATGCTATCTGCGCTTGACGTTGTCTCCGTACTTTTTTGATTAAATCAGACAAAAGCATACACAAAGGTTCAATGTTGCTTTTTTCTTACAAAAGATCTTAAAGGTTCACAGTGTTGTCAGTCAAGTTACTCCCCAATTCGTCCTTGGTTTGAAGTCAACTTCAAACTCTGCCATTAAATGTTGTATAAAACATCTCAGGTTGAAGCAAGAATTATTTTAGTGAAATATTTGTTAAAGGAAATAACATTCTTGAAATACTTACTGTCAGTAAATCACTTTGCCAATCACCTGTGTAAAGTGCAAACCACATCAACTTCAAGGTAATCTTTTGTAAGACAGACACTTTTGTAATATGATCAGTAAAGCAATCTGAAGACTTTGAATTCGTATGTAGTGTTTACCAGCAATAACCACATTCCCTTTTAATAGATCAAATGTGTTTTCTGGTTATTCAAGATTCTTGACCGTTGGATTTCTCTAATGATCAATGCCTGAAAAATGAAATGTTGTGGTCTTATTTGATTGTATATTCCCTTTGTCTGGATCTATACAAATACTTGTTCAGTGGCGAGCCGTGAGCTTTATACCTAGGCCCTCTGACCCCCACCCCTTCCCTCGAAAAAAGAAAAAAAAATAGTTATTACGTCACAGCATATACTTCAGCGGAATATCAAAACAACGGCCCAGGGTGCAAAACGCATCAATGACAGCGACCCTCTACCACACAAAACAACACCTGTGAACCCAATTTGTGTTCTTTGACATTGAAAATGATATTGCATTGTGTTTGTTACTTTCGTTGCCGTTGTATGTCTTAAGTGTAATTTGGCATGCTTTTATTTTGAAGGTGAGTTCACGCTGTTGACAGGAAGTTGTTGTTGCTATGGAAACAAGAAAAGTTTCACAGCGGGCGGAACTTGTCATAAAGTCCGCTATAATAAAACCCACCCATTTAGAGGGAAGATATGATTGGTCAATTGTACTGTCATTTGACATTACTCTCTCGTTCAGTTACTATAGCGGGCCCTCTGTGAATCGCAGAGAGGGCCAGGCGAGCTTCTTTCATGTAACCCCTACATTCAAACAGAGAATGAACAGGCAGATTCGAAGGATTTATTTCTTTGGAAATGTTATTTTAAATACAATTAAATCAAGTTTTTTTTCGGTAAAACTAATGAAAAATATAACAAAAATAATATTAAAAAAATATATATTTAAAAAAAATATTATTTTTTTTAATGTTTTTAAATATTATTTTTTGGAATATCTTAGGCCCTCACAGAGGGCCTAGAGGGCCCTGACGGCTCGCCACTGTACTTGTTGATTACTATGCAAATATAGATATCTTATGTTCCTGTTTGTTCTTTCCTTTTGCAGGATGACAGTTCACTGAGCAGCGAGGAGGAGGCAGAGATGAGCGAGCCCACATGGTTAGCAGCTGATCTGGGAGCAGCGTCTGACCTGAGCCCGGCCAGCCGAGGGGAGAGGATGCGCCACAGTCCGCAGAACACACACAGCAAGGAGGACGACGGTAAGGACCGGCAGGAAGTTAAACACACTGCTCTTTATTTCATACTAAGCTCTTCCACTAACTTATTCAAGGAATAGCTACCACCCCGATTTGCCCCTCTTTATTGACTGTGAGCCTCTTTTAACAATCATTTACATTTATTGCATGTCTGTGTGCGGTCTTTGCATCTGTGGTTATTCGGCCTGGTGAGTCATTGAAAAGTCCTTGAATCAGATGTTTGTGAAGTTGTGGGAAACCTGGACAAACCTGAATGAAAGAGAAAACACGAGACAGAAGAAATATTTATAATTTAAAGTTCACTGTGAATAGATGTTTAAATGATGTTGTCATGCATTTACATTCTGTCACTTTGTTATATAGAGTGATTTTAAAGGTCCCATGTCATGCTTTTCTGGTTATTACCCGTCCCCTTGTGTGTTATGAAGGTTTTTATGCATGTAAACGGTCTGCAGAGTCAAAAACCCTCAAAGTACACCCTGTAGCGAGTAAAACTCTAACACAGAAAAGACCTGTCTATGTTGCCCCAGAGCGCCTCGTTGGAGTTTTCTCTTTTTCCATTTGTTTCTTCCGGGAACCAAAATGGACCAATCCACGGAGCTCCTCACACACCAGGATCCCTTGGCGTCACTATCAACGCAGTGGAGGGACCTTTAGCGTACATTTTCAACCAACAGGGAGTCCCATTGACTTGCATAGAGCTCCCTGGTTGGTAATAGACGAGTTGGGATCGCGGAGAAATGCTCTCTGCAGACCCATTCTCACAGCGTTTATAAACCTTTTTCTTACTCCATATCAAGCCACACTTATTGTTTTTACTTCGGCTGTGAGTGTTTGTGTGTGCTCAGGATGAGTTTCGCGCTGTCTCGCTGTATCGCCCACCTGGAAACCACACCAGTAAGCCAGCTCACTGAGCAGCGAGCCTCGCAACATCCCGACCAATCAGAGCACACTGGGCTCAAAGGCAGGGGGGGGGCAGGAGCTCCAACAAGCCGTTTAGGACAGAGAGTGACTACACATACTTTACAGAGATGCTGTATGAGAAACCAATGTGAGTTTGGAAAATTGCACAACATACATTTATTCTAGTATACCTCAACAATGGAATTATGATCAGTAGAAATGGCCATGACATGGGACCTTTAATATAATATATCTGAAGTTACATCCTGGTAACTTCTACTTTGCTTTGTGCAGCCACCATGCTTCTGTTCTTTCATTAGTTGCAGTGATTGTGGAGAACTGAAGGTAGTTAGGCTTTGCTTGTTGTGTGTTCCTGAAAAGCAGCAGATTACTGACCCTGAAAACACAAGCAGCCCGATCCAACCAATCACAGCTCTCGTTGTTTCCACGTGGCAACTGTGTAGCTGCCATGGGCATAATTTATTAAATTATCAGCTCCCATTTGTTTGTGAATGACACAACTGTTTTATGGTTAACAATAATCAAACTTACGTGTTGCTGTTCATTTAAATATTGAATGAAACATGTTGCACTTTAACACCATCAGTGATATTTGTTGACAAAATCGGCTTTGGCAGAGTGTGGGAAAATAAACAAATGTGACAGTCAGTGCAAGATTTCATTAAGACATATTTTAACTGTCTCCTCCATTCATTTCGATTTCATTTTATACCCTCTGCTGTCAGATTGACTGTCTGTTTCTCAGCTTCACATTTCATATATGGCATTCCTGGAATATGAATGTATTTTGAGAAATGTCTTGCAGCAAAGTGAAGAGTTAGAGTGATTTAAAAGGCACTTTTATCATATTTCAACCTTTTTGCAAAGGAAATACAACAGCATGGTCCTTGAGGAAACACAAATAACATGCATGAAGGGTTTCAAACGGTCATGTAATGGAAGATTCTGGATCAGGAAGGTTGGGACGGAGACTTTGTTCCTCTCATAGTGCTCTCTCTTCTTATGCCTCCCTCTGTTCTTTTTATTCCCTCTCCTCCCACCTTATTGCTTTCTTACCTGCCTGTTACTCTCCTCCATTTCTCTCTGCCCCCCCACACACACATTATTTATCTTTCCCTCGTCCTGTCTTGCTGCCTCTGCTCTCTTTCTCTCTGCACTGAAAGGCTCCCCTCACTTTGAAGACAGCCGTATTGTTTCATAATGCTGCAAGGATACAGCAATTACCTGCTACTGTAACAAGTTGTGTGTGTGTGTGTGTGTGTGTGTGTGTGTGTGTGTGTGTGTGTGTGTGTGTGTGTGTGTGTGTGTGTGTTGTGTGTGTGTGTGTGTGTGTGTGTGTGTGTGTGTGTGTGTTGTGTGTGTGTGTGTGTGTGTGTGTGTGTGTGTGTGTGTGTGTGGTGTGTGTGTGTGTGTGTGTGTGTGGTGTGTGTGTGTGTGTGTGTGTGTGTGTGTGTGTGTGTGTGTGTGTGTGTGTGTGTGTGTGTGTGTGTGTGTGTGTGCGTGCGTGCGTGCGTGCATCGAATGGTACTGTAATGCACTGTATGAGTCTATGTGGCTGTGTTTTTATGCCACTCCTTTAAGCTGCTACTGTGCATAGTGAAAAGTCAGCAGTGTAGTGAAAGAAGCCCAGGTGTGTGTGTTGATGTGAGTGAGTTTGACGGTTCAGTATCAGGCGGAGGAAAGTGCTGCAACCATTCTCCATCAAGATCTTTCTTTCTCTGCAGGATGAGGAACGAGGAAATAAGGAGAGGGGGAATAAGGGGATAAGTATAGGGATAGAGTCGGGGGAGTAAGGAAATCCTCTGAAGATTATATTTTTAGTTTGTCAACATTGTTTAGTGCTCAGCATTAAATACTGTAGTGCTGAAACACAGAAAACGTCCCTTTCTGAGCAAGAGAGGATTAAATGAAAAAACAGGACACACTCAAGGTTGTTTATTTACACAAGATAACGCAGTTATAATCCCTTTATGCCACACAAGAATAACAGTAGAAATGTATCAATTTATTAACGTTAGATATTCCCAGGGTTCCTACGGTCATTAAAAACCTGGAAAAGTCATGGAAATTCACAATGCAAATTCCAGGCCCTGGAAAAGTTATGGAAAACAATATTTTTCCCAACGTTTTGGAAAAGTCATGGAAATGTAACTAAAGTTGCATCAAATATAATTTATATTTTATCTAATCGCCGAAATAGTAATACTATAATGATAATAAATACTGTATCGTATAGTAATGAAACGTAAAATGGCATTTAACTGTCGAGGTATTTTGCTGGTGAGAGATTTTAGTTGCTTTAGCGTGTAGAAGCTAGTAAGCCTACTATTTGATTTGTTTTAGATAGGCACAACATGTTTCAGACCTTATTTTCCTGTTCCATGTTAAAATAAACCATTTTCAGTGGTATCGCTGAGAAAGAGTCATTTGGTCATGGAAAATTAGGTAAAGGTCATGGAGAAGTCATGGAAAAGTTATTGAAAATCATTGGTGAAAAAGTGTATGAACCCTGTATTCCATAACATCTCTGGAGGGACTTAAAACATACGTGATAGGGTTAAATGGCTTTACACTGAGCATGTGGTGTTTTTTTTGTTCTTTAAAGTATTTTTTAAATATAGCTGCAACTAGCTATTATTTTTTAATTACAATGAATCCACTGATAGTTTTCTCAATCAGTTCCCACTTCAGCTTCCATGAAGTGACGTATTTATTTATTTTTCACTCACAATGGTCATCTCAAACAAAGATAGTGTGTGTGTGTGTGTGTGTGTGTGTGTGTGTGTGTGTGTGTGTGTGTGTGTGTGTGTGTGTGTGTGTGTGTGTGTGTGTGTGTGTGTGTGTGTGTGTGTGTGTGTGTGTGTGTGTGTGTGTGTGTGTGTGTGTGTGTGTGTGTGTGTGTGTGTGTGTGTGTGTGTGTGTGTGTGTGTGTGTGTGTGTGTGTGTGTGTGTTTTTTGTGTCTACAGTAGGTGGCAGAGTGTATAAGGTGCTGTCATTAAAAGGTCACTCTGTTCCCTACACCTCATATGGAAGCCAGAGGAGGTTTGTCGGCGTCCAAATGCCACAACACTCAGAGCAGCTGAGAGGCACAGTTGAAGTGCCTTTCCTGATCAAGACTCCAATCCAAGGAAACCGGCTGGCAGCACAGCATCCTCTTATTTCTCTCATGTACAGTTCAGTGTTAGTAATGTATGAAACACTTGGGCTGGGTTGCCTGGCCAGATGTTTAATTATAATGGAAATGTTCAGGGTTCCCACGTGTCTGGAATTGTGTTTGTGGATTCTTGAAAAATAAAACAAGGCCATCCTTTACAAAAAAAAAAAAATGAAATCATGTCCTTGGAAGTAGCTCACACCCTAAGGAAAGCCCGGCCTCAGTTCCTTTCCGTGTAGATTAAAACATGAGTTTAACTGAATTTGATGACAGGCAAGCTGCCTACGTGAAAAGGAATCGAAAGAAATGTCCCCCCCTTGTTTTTCTTTTTAAAAGAAAAACGACATTGTGGGCAAGTTATGTCATCGATGTATGCCTGATACTGTGTAACACAGAACAATGCAGTACACGTTATCCCGAAACAAATGAGCCATTCTTATTTTTATTTTTTAGTGTTTGAATAACTGTGAGAACTCCTGTGGTCCCAGTTTAATCCTTTTCTGTAGTGCTTTGCAATTACCTCTGCCATGTTAACTCTTTTCTTTTAACTCTGAAAAGGTGCTTGAGAGATTTGCTAGTCATGACTTCTGCTGTTGCTATATTAAACCTGTTTGAAGTGCTTTAAAGTCAACAATATATTTTAGTTCTCCCAGCGCTAAAAGCCCACTTAACTCTGAGCACTGTGGAGAACTCGCAGCAGATCTTTCCCGCGAGGAGCTGCTACGGTTTGAACACGCAGCCAAAGAGCTTGTGGTTGATATATCTCCAAGAGTTAATATCAGGTTGGTGTTTCCCTAACCAGCAAGCTGTCAAGGCATTTAACTGGAGTAGGCAGCTAATTTCAGCAGAGCAGATGGTCCGCACACACACATTCACCCAATGTCCTGCTCAGACGCAGCTAGTATATCACTTTTAAGAGCTCCT